TCAGCAGCGCTGGTCACTCAGACGTTCCAGAAGTCCTGACTGCCAGCAGATAAAATGGTATTTGGAGTAATTTCCTTTCTAGGAACACCCAGGTACCCTCCTTCCTTAATCGGGAAGTAAAAGCAGGATGCCACAGAGAAAGCATAGCATCTTCTCATGACCAGCCAAAGAAAATAAGAGGAGAAATTTCGGTTTCCAATCAGTTCCAGCACAGAGCAGTTATGTACACAACCGGATTAACCGAAGGGCTGCACACCCGCAGTTCCAGCAGAGCCGTGGAACGTTCAGGGATGCTGGGCTGCCAAAGGCAAAGGCAATGCCAGCTTTTGGCCCCGACGCTCAGCACCTGCTGATAAAAGCTAATTCCCCCCCAGTTTTCAGAATTTACTCCTGCAATCCCAGTGCACCATTACAGACCCGATCACACTAAAGTAAGCCTATTAAGTTAAAATGAAGTGCACGTGGACAACAGTCCCCACACCCCTGAGCGTCGTTTTGAGTAAATGGCTTGTTTCATAGTTTGTAAAATGTAGTTGGCAGCGGTTTAGTATTATTCTAGGAAATCCATACAGGCAACATTTCTTTCTCGTAATATAGCACTACCAAGAATACAGAGAGTGATATTGCTTTTTATTTTTTAAAAGGAAAACAAACTAAGAAAACACCTGTAGGCAAGTCCCCAGGTCATGACTTTTCTTTTGAAAAGCAGTTATCCCCTAAAATCAAAATCATCCATGAAGCAATTCCATCCGAAACACGACTGTCTGAAGCATTCTCTTAGAGCTTACTCATGATGGGAGTTGCATCTGGTTTTTTACTCCCAAATAAATGCTGTAAGAACACAAACCTTACGCCTCTAATCTTTTTTCACCATTAATATCAATCCATCTCTGTGGATGACTATTGAGAGAATTTTAAGCCAGCAAGATTCGGGGGCCTAATTTGATCTGGGTGGGTGAGAGTTTAGAAAAATACCCAAGGCTGTTTCACCCAACTGCAACAAGTTAGGAGGGGCTTGGGGGTCAGCGGGGCTATCAGATCCAGAATGCAATTTTACAGGGGGAGGAAAGGGAAAATGGAGATTTGCTAGGTTGCTTTTCTTGATTCAGATTGGAAAATAAGCCTCTTCCAGTCTCTCCTGTAGGAGCTGCTCTAGTTTGAACAAGAAGGACGTAGTTACCAGGTCAGAGATAGATGGGTAACTGCTTTACAATGGAAGCCAAATTATCCTCTTGTGTTGCAGGGCACTGGGGAATAAGCTTATGCTCATCTTGGGACTCCAGCCTGGGTCTCCCATATCCCAGAGTATTCACTCCCCTGGGATCTTTTCCAGGCTCCCTTTTCCCTCCTTTTGGTGGATGAAACAAATGCAACATCTCAGGCTCTTTCATTACATGGGAAAACAATTTCCTACCCAGCTGCTACCAGTCTGCACAAAACGCTTGGTCCTGTTCCCCGTCATCTCTTGGTCCAGCTACCCAACAGGACTAACACAGACCTGTGGGCTATTTATATCTTGTTTAAGCCAACGCTGAGGAACAAAGCGATACACAATACTTGCCCGGCCTCTCTGCTGCATACACATTTTACCCATCCTCAACAAGATTTAATCTGCTTAGGGTTAACTGTGTAGCGGATGTCCAAGACCTTTGAATCGCACCTTAAAAAGGCTGAAAGACCAAACCCATAATTGCAAGAGCAGAATCTCTGATTCACTGCAACCCATTTGTTATCAGCAATTAAGTTTCTTGCTGATAAATGATTCATTATTTGAAAGCCCAGATTACTCACTTTTAACCACGGCAGAAATTCCTATGTGGTTACGAACGCCTGGGCTATGCATCTACTACAACGGACTGGAAAGTCTGAATGTGTGAAATGACCAACCGTTTAACTACACAAAGTAAGAGCTCTTACATATAAGATTATTTTTTTTTCTACAGATTGTGAATGAAACGCAAGTATTTCAATTTCAACTTGACTGATGCAAATATAAACATAAACTGACTTCACTAGCAAATATAAACATCAACTTGTGCTTTTCTGGAGGCAACAGAACTACAACAGCGTAACTGAGATCCAGACCTGGTCTACTAATTAAAAAGGCTTGGAAGCAAAGCTCCGAGCTCATGGTACACTCTAGTTCACAGTAACTAAGGCTTTTGTCAGCCATTTGATGTAATTGTTTATGGTGTTCAAAACTGTATTTTTCAAAAACCATTCAGACTATAAACCAGATGAGTCATGACCCTGTAACAGAAGGTAAATTATTCTCAAATATTTTATATTTGTGCATTAACACATGATTAGCCAAGAAAAAATGAATGCCCAAGTCCAAGAAGTAACTGACAAAAGACTGAAGGGAAAAATGAGAATCCTTAATTTTAATTTTATTATGGTGTAACCAGCTGTAAGGAATTACTGGTCTGAAGCACAGTGTGCAATTATCCTATCCTAAACATTTACTAAAGCCTATGATTCAGAATGATCCTGACTAGTGATGTCACCATTGGCAAGCTATTTTTTCTTTTTTTTGAAGACGTCTACATTTCTCGGCAATTAGCACAAACATAGGCACAGCCTATGCACAGAAATGCTCAAGCATTCTTTAATGCCAGCTGCTTTGACTCTGAGATAAAACAAAAACACAGTAAGTTCTGGACTGATCATACTTGGTAGTTTTCTGGTAAGCAAAAGAACTCCTGTTTGAAATCAAATGGGAGCAATATGTATTATTTCCTAAGTGCAGGGCAGAATGCTTGGTACTAAAGCGAGGATAGCTTGAAAGAAAGAATTACCATGATCTTACGCAAAAGTACTAAATGCAACATGAAGTAACTATGCTAACAGGAAAAAAAAAAACCCAAACAACACAGTAAGAGACTTAATAAATTAAGCTACTTTCACACTAGGATATTATGTACTACCAGGCAGCTGATTTCTTGAGTGAAGAGACTCATCAGGTGCCTAATAAGAGAAGATACTTGGCACGGCTCCATCACCATTCAAACTGATGTCATGGTTAACAAGCTGGCTGCCATACAAGGCCAATCAGGCTACGGGTATTCCAGATTACTCACAATGGCTTCAGCAGCTTAACGAGTGCCAAACACACAGCGCCATTAATTGTGCGAAAGAGAGGAAGAAAAAATATCCAGGAAGGAGGGAAGATGCCATTCACCTGAGCAGCGCAGCGCCGAGTTGTCCATTAGCATGGCCTTCACCAAGGACCCGAACTAGCAGCAGAAAATGAGACGAGTGGACTGAGGAGCAGGAGGAAGATTTCAGACCCAAGGCACAGTTCTTCACTGTAAAAAGTTGTTTCGTCTGTCCGCTGAGTGTCAAGGCAGATGGAGGTCAACCCTCGCACCACCAAACACCCCGCAGTACTGCCCAGCATGCCTGGGCACTGGGCTGTCCCCAGCAGAGGGGTGGTGGGCACCCATCCTGCATGCGCTGGCTCTTCCTAAACCTCGACCAGCTACGGTCATTCACCCAGCGGGGAAGAAGCTGAACAAGGCCGATTAATGATAAAAATACTTGTCTTTTTTTAAAATTTATTTTTAGTTCAAAGTGAATCACAACTTCCTGCCCCTCCCTCTCCCCTCCTGTGAAGACATAAGTACCTCCAGATCAACCTTTTTTTTTTTTTTTTTAGCATCAAGAGTGTAACACATTTCAGCTGCTGCTAATACAGGTTTTACAGTGATAATTTTGTCAGAGAGAGATTGTTCATGTAACTCCTTAAAGAGCAAAAAGGAAAAATCCCACATACAGGTGCAGATACACTTTTGGAAAGTAAACACATAATATACATAATTACTGCATTATCAAAAGTATTATGCATTTATCAAAACAGTTGAACATAACACTTTCCAACACCTATTTGATATGGCCCAATCATAATTTGAAGGGAGACTGTATACCCTATAAGGGTAACTGTATACCCCTACAGGATAACCACTCCTGCCGTAACGTACAGCTGCATTTGGCAATATTGATGCCAAAAGAAGAGGGTTTAGTTTCATTTTACCCATGCTCTGCTGATTTTTGATACTTGGCTTAATTCACTCAATACATTCTATAGGGGTATGTAAACAGTCTCGATTTAAAGACCAGAGAGATTTAAATGAAATCAACAGATCTGGACTGTTCAATGTTAATGTCTTCATTAACTCAGATATCTTATTTATCCCTGAGCACCTTAAAATTGTTCCCCCAAATCTCACTGAAGAACACTTAACTATTTCACAAGAATGTAAAACTGGATTTGGATAAATCTGTCTCTTGTAAGTCCCATTTTCCTTCACTGGTTTAAAAAAAAAACCAAACAACCCAAAAAACGTGTCCCCTCCCCTTTGTTTTTTACATGTACTGCAATACTTAAAAAAAAAAAAAAATCACCCTATCAAACAACATCACCTACAGACACACTACAGACTACAAAAATATTGCATAGGAGTGTCAGTGGGCATAGTCTCACAACGTGAGAGAAAATGCTAAGTTTTCTTTAAAACATTATGGCAACATTCTAATTTATTTTCCTTTTAAAAATCAAGTGGTTTCACTTTATTTCAAAATTGTACAAAATGGCCATGGCTGTTTATAAAAAAAAAGTCTCTGTCTTGAGAATATGTGAAGTCTCAGGTGCATTATTAACAAAAGACCTGGAACCATTCACAGTGCAGCGGAAAGCTTCTTTTGAGGCAGAAACTACAATTCATCCTTCTTTTTTCCTACTCTTTCATGGTCTCTTTCTCTCAGGGTTCGCATGAAAGTGGTGAATCCAGACTCCTGGTTTTGAAGAAAGAAAAATATGGGTCATACCTTTACAAACAAACCAAAGCAATGCATCAAGAATACTTTCAGTTTCTGTATTTCACAGCAGACTATAAACTAAGCAGCAGTTATTGCTTCTGCATTGCCTCGTTGTGCAGTGCTCTGGTCCAGTGCTGCTCCGCTGCAATGCAAGGGGAAAATACCTGTGCAGATGTCTACATGCCAAACTTTGCAGAGATGAGACACAGAGAAAAAGGCCCCAAAACTCACAGGACAGGGTAAAATCTCTTCCTAGAAGTGCCATTGATGCCTTTTTATCAGAAACACTCAAAGACATTTTCAAGCCGCATTTGTATGCTACCTGTGCCATTTTGAAAACAGTTAGTGGATCATTTGTTGGCTCTACACACATTTGCCACTGTTCCTCAGCCCTTAGTTTTGCTCATGATCCTCCTCCTTTTCCACACAGTCAGATAATAGGAATTACATTTTTTCGAGTTACTGTCAAAATTATTGTCAAACAATTTCAAACCTGGATGCCTAGATGTCGACCTCTGTATTTCAGCAACTTGTGATTTCTGATTATGTAAGGCTGTTGGATGCCAGCAGTCTCCTTTTCTAAGGAAAGCTCTGAACACAGCTCGCAGGCATTTGAAAAGGCTCAGACAGGTAGAGGTGTGAACACCTATGTCTGAACACACTGTTCACAGGTACACCAACACTACAGTTGTCTGGGCAAGCAACACCGATCCCACCCAATGTGACCATTTTTACTTTTAAGCAATCGTGAAACACACCAGTCAAAATTGGTGATAAAGAAGGAAAATACTTAGAGAATAACAAACAGAGAGTCAAAGCTTGACTTAAAACAACGTGGAGGACAACAAAAGAAAACAAAGGTAACAAAATAAAACAAAACAAAACCCCAAAGCTGAGAAGCTTTTGAGAAGGCTGAACAACAAAACACTCTTCTAAAACTATTCACTTCCTTCCACTGACAAAAAACGAAGTGACAAGTTTTGGCCATACATCATCTGGAGACCTCTGGCAACCAAAAGCCCCCATGAAAGGACCCCAGTTTTTAAAGCTGCGTGGCTGGAAATCATTGGATGTACACTTGGGCCAGAGGGTGTCCTGACTCTTCCTTGCTCGAGTTGCTAGGGGTGAGATGCCCTAAAATCTCTACTCTGGAACTGCAATTCCCTTGGCGGTGTGGAGGACCCCTCACAGGCTACCGCTGGGGGTCATGCTCTTCCCCACAGCCAGTGTTCCGGCATGGGGTGGCAAGGAGCTGAGAGCTGCTCTACGGGCCATGGCTCCTGCTGTAGCATCTCATGTTGCTCCCACAGCAGCTGACATCGCCTCTCTTCTTCCCTGCCCACGTGAAATGATGATACACCAGCTGGACCACGCTGAACTAAATGCTCGTGGACATCTACTGATTTAGTGTCAGAATCAGGGAACAGAAAGTAGGTCCCCTGGCTCCCGCTGCTCTCTCCTGAGATTTCCTTTGCAAAGTAGTAAGTGGTTGGCCGAGGTGGTTCAAAAGTTGTTGTCATGCTGATGAGAAGTTCTTTAACAGCGCAATCCCTTGTTACTCAAACAGATTTGTGAACAGACCCAGAAACTCCAAGGAAGGCACTGGGCTGAGCACTGCCTCCAGCATTACCATGATAGGAGATAACAAAACCTAATTTGATACTGCACAAGCAGAAGACCATCAGTCCCAGGAGAGGTGGAGGGGCAACACAGTTGCCAGCAGCAGAAAGATTGTGATGTTCCTGTTGGGTAGTTTAATTTTACCCACGAAAGGGTTGGCTGCACGTAGGAGATTAGTCAATCCACTTTCCAGCATAGGGATAATCATCTCCTAACTGCTGTGGCCTCAGAGCACGCTTGTCCTGCTAAATTCTTTTTATCAGCCACCACAGATCCTTCCTTTCACATATAATTTCTATAATTATGTGTTAGAAATGCAGAAATTGTGGCTGAAATTTTACTTAATTGTTGGCTACTGCACCCATCTTTACTTTTAAGAAAAGATCCACAATCAGAACTAAACACAGTATCCATAACAATGCATGGATCAGCACCATAAAATGGTAATTACTGGGGTCCTAATGCTGGAGAAAACTGGGAGGCGAAGCTCCATGAAGACTTCCCTACGATCCTGACTGACAAAGAACCTCAGAATTTAGCTTTTTTCTTCATGCTTCTCTATAATTTGGTGAGCTGTAATAGCAGCAATAACTTTCAGGCAAGGCTCTTTTATCAAAATCACTGGATGGCTTGAAGACCCCAAGTTTTTCTTGCAGACCCTAGCTTCTCCAGGCAATCAGTCACTGCTGAGGAGTAACCTCCCTCTAGGAGGTTATGACAAAGAATGCACACAAATAATTGGGTTGCTCCCTTATTTTCATGCATTTTATAACCATGGAAGACATTATGCCATTTCTGCCCCTTGTATTCATGGCATATAATTAGCTGGCAACAGCAGGACAAAAGAATGAAACTTCAGCCCATGGGCTAGGATGGCACAATTTGTCTTTCACATCCTGATCTCCAGGAGTGAATCTGAGTCAGGGCGAATGAGATATTTAGTTTCCCCAGTCTCCAAAGGACAGTTTTGTCCCTGCTATAAAACCAATGGTCTGTCACCACTTGGCAGCTTGGTGGACCCGTAACACGTTTGCAGTATTTGCACGATCCAGATCCAGAACTGATAGGTGTAAGTTTTGCATTTTCTGGCATTTCTACACCTAGCAGCAGCCCACACAATAAACCCTTCATTTTCACTCAGCCCCAATTCACTTGCAGACTTCAGCTTAAAGAATAAAATATACAACAAAGCATTACCAAATCTACTCTTTTTTCCTCTTCTCACATGCCTATAATAGACCAAGTGTGTTCCTAATGCAGAGATGTACAGGTGTGTGGTACACAATGATCCATTCGTGTAAGTCAGTAACACAAGCAGTTAAACATCCTTCCAGCATGGTAAAAATTTACTCTGCAGTTTTCATTTGCAAGGCAGTACAGGCAGAGGAGACCTCCCTCCCTGTATCAGGTGATGACTCTTGCTTTCACTTACCCCTCTTTCTCCAGTATATTTTTCCACAAATTTCCCATAGTTGTAATAGTTGAAAGTGGGGTAGCCATCAACCCCCTCCTGCTTACACAGGTCATGATTCTGTCCTTTGGCGCAGTCCACTGCAGCGTAGGCGATCTGAAACGCAAGGGATCAGCATGAGGCAGGAGAAGACAAAGCACAACGCTACTTCACAGTTACGCTGCTGCAGCTTTGAAGACTTAACACTAGGAGAGACCCAAGTCTTCTGCCAAAAATGCAATGCCTTTTGTAACGGCTCAGCTGTGGAGGAAGATCAGAGGGTGGTCATCAGGTCAAGCCACGCAAATGGAAGGGGAGAAGCCTGCTCCCTCCCAGCGAAATGCTGCGCTGCTCGCACAGCTCCTGGCCTACGCAGCTGCAAGCAGCGTTCAACTCACAGACCAGAAAATCACCTCCCAAGCCTGCCCGTCAAGCACTGCGTTACGACTCCAAACAGGAAATCCAGAGGCTGTGAAATCAAATCCAAGCACGGCGGTCCCAGCTCTGTCACGCTGCAGTATTTTTCTTGCACTTTGGTTTTAAGTGATGAACAGTGACAGGGTGACTTTGATAAGGGTAAGGACCCACCCAACCCAACCTCCTTCCTGTGGCATGGCTAATGCTCAGAAAAGTTACCTCTTCTCTTCTTGGACAAACATGGCTGGTCATTTATGCAGGCTATTAATAGATTAATGATTTCTACCCCAAATAGCTTTTGTAAACTCCATTCAGTTCTCCCAAGGTCAAACGGGGATGGGTGAGAGGCCAGAGCATTGTCTACCAAGTAGCACGGACAGAGAAGGTGGCTGCTTGCTTACAATCTCAGCCTGGGGTTACGTTTCCTTTCCTGTCTTTTTTCAGTCTATCCTTTAAGGTAGGGACTGTATGTTATGTGCAGCCATTAGCAAAGTGGGCTTTAATTCCTTTTGAAACCTCTAGATGCTACTGTCACACAAACAAACCCCGAGTGGGAAACAGCCTGCCGTGCTCGCAGCCTGTTGGCAGCAGAGCAACACCCTCCGTCCCCGCCTGCTTCAGCAGAGGCAGAGCGATGAAGCACAACCTCGCAGCCCTGGAGCATCAGCTCAGGCTAACCCTCTGTTTAGAGCATTGGACGTTTGAAACCTGAATCTGTGAAGTGCTGAGGAGGGGCCGCACTTGATGTTGAAACAAAATGCAATTCATTGGCTTCTACTTAAAGCAGCCGAGCCCTCTGCTGCGATTTCACACTGACTGTTCCTGCGAGTGGCAGCTCTGGCTCTGAACGTACGTTGCAGCTTACGCAGGCTTGCCTTCACAGCCCCTTCATGCTCTGCTCAAGAGCAAGAGGGTTTAAGTACAAGCTACATAAAAGACCAAACAAATTAGAGCAATTGTGGGTTACAACGTAGCAAGTGCTAATTTCATAGCAGACACATCTTAACTTGAAATTTCCGTTCCACAAGCCTCCTTCAAACACTCTGATCAGAATACCTTTTCCTTGCATGACTTTAAGGTTGCAGTTGAACTGTTCTTCCATAATTAAAAGATCACTTAATATTCCACAATGCCCTCCAGTTTCATGGTGACACTGTCAAAATGAGAAAACCTGATCTCATTATCCTAGCAGTAATTAAAGAGATTGGCAAAGCCAACTTCAGTTAATTTGCTTGTTTTGTTTTGGCTTTGAAAGCCTGACAAGACAACACTCAGATCTCGCTTGGGTCTATCTTCAGATGGAAAGCACTACATAAAGTAAGCAGTGTTCTTACCTTAAATATTTGGTTTCCCATTTTAAACATTAATAAGGCTGTTACAGAAACAGGACTCCTGAGAGCTATTAAGAACACGTATGATCACAATTTTTTTTTTTTTTCCTTTTTGTAACCAGAAAGACTCCTACTCATTCAGGGCCAGTTAAAACGAAAGGTCAGGAATAATACACCGCAAAAGTTTCATCTAAGTATTTATGCCTCCCTGACCTTAGCAGGCAGCCAATATTTAGAGTCCTGTTGGCTACTTCTGTGTAAAGGAAAGTGTACAATGGAGATAAACATTTATTTCATGTCACAGTATTAATGTAGAAAGAATACTGGAAGTCCTGGTTCCTTGAAAACAGGAAGAATAAATAAAACCATTGTTTTCTCACTGCTCTAAGTATCACACAGGGAGAGATTACAGCCAGAAAAGGGGGCAGGTATATGTGCACTCATCCAGATCCTAGTAGCTGGTCTGAGGCATGAAACTGTTGTGACTGATGATCCATCTGTTCTTAGATAGCATCTTGGAGATTAAGAAAATTAGGTTTTAGAACACTGGAAGGAAGACAAGCTCGCTCTATCTGTACCTCTCTGAAAACACCTAGACTGGCTCTGGTTGGAGCAAAGAGTCTGGTTTTATTTACAGAAGGCTTTTGTGGGAATAGCCCCCAGCAAGGAGAGGGTGCAGTGGAGGAATGCAATGCTGTAAGCTGCTGTTAACCTTGTTCAGGTTCAGCACATCTTTACTTACTGCCTCAAAACAGATGACTCATGGACTATAAGGAGGTGGCTTCTGAAAGAAATGCTTAGTAGTCTGCTCAAGATACAGCTCTCCTCTACAGCACATGGAAATCTAAGCTGCATTTGTTGTGCACTGAAATAATGCACGAAGATCCCAGTCTAAGTCTGGCCACAACAGTCACATTAGCCTAATGCTACACCTAATCTAACAGGTCTAGCAGTAAGGGACATGTACATCCGGAGCAGCGTTTGGAGCACACGTCCGTGGTCCATCATTCTCTGACGTGCTCCTGACGAAAGCTCCCACATGGACCCACAGACTCACCGCCGCTCCTGCAAATGTCATTTTGAGCCCAGCTCTTCAGAACGTGCATTCCCGTTCAGTTATTTTTACAGCCAGTGAGAGAAAAGAAATGGCAATTTTCAAAAGCCTAACTCATACAGTCCTGAGCAAAATTTCATAGAGACACATCTAATTCCCAAGAACGTATCTGAGGCTGCATTTCAAATGCCTGCTGCCAACAGTAGCTGAGTAAGAGTACTTAGGAGAGCTTGAGTGATTACTTTAGAGTGGAAATGTTAAGGCAGCCTAAATATAGAGGTTGCTACCATCTCTATGCACTCATTACCATAGCATCACAGTCCTAATTGTCTTGCCTGTCTCACAGTGGAACATCAAATATAGTGCACCGCAAGAAGAGAAAATTAATGCTGAAAAACACTTGTAGCAAAATGCACTTCTGGACTGAGGACCAATTCCAATCTCAATTCTATCAACTTCAGACAGCTGAACTCCAAGACATACCAGAATTCAGCAAACAGCACCGATGCCCTTTGCTTCATTCTGTTTGTGTTTCCATGGACCGTGAATATTAAACACCATTTCTGGTAGTGGAGTCTCCTACAGCAGTTTTCAGTTAGGATGAATTACTTCACGACTACACTGAAAGGCTGCACATAAAAAGATGCAGCCCACAAAAAGAAAGGCTTTGCTTGACTCCTGGCTCAAGTGAGTGGTGATACATTGCAGGGAGTTTTTCCTCTCATTCTCAGTCTTCTTGGCAATGATCAGTTTTTCTGCATCGCTAAAGGAAACTGAGTCAGGAAAAATAACAATCCAAAAAACCTCTACCAAAATGTGGTCAAAGACTTCTGAAGAATATTATTCTCAGAAATTATCTTCATACTCAACTACCAGCAACAACTTACGTGGAAGTTCACTGGAAAGCACAGGTTAGGAAGACCTATATGCTTTGCCTTGCAAAAACATTAACTTTATTCAACCAGAATTTCCAGACAGGTAAGGATAAGACATCCCTGATATGTATCTAGGAGCCAAGACACTTAGCATCGCCTCTCATTAATTCCCTCTCATCAAGAGGGAAAAACACCTCTAAAAATCTGAGAGCAAGAAACTCTCCTCATGCTCGTGTAAGACTTGTGAGTTTGTATATATAGATATATGGCCATCATGGAAAAACCCAGTGTAGCTTTCAGAAGACAAGATTGATTTTATGGAGATTTTGATTGTTAGGGCTAAAATTTAATTTCTTGGGCTTTCCTAACTTTCCTGTAACCTGAAGGAAAAATCCACTGAAAAAACATTTCATGAAGAAAAAACCCTAAGTGCTCTATCTGCAACACACACAAAACTCCACAGCGTTATGGATTCTCCATAACCCAAAGCTGTGCTGCCTTAGATATTGACAGTACATCATTATATAAAAGTTCTCTCTCCAGAGGCAATGCTGTTCAGGTTTATCACCATGCTGTTCAGTAGCTCTAGCAGGAATAGAATAGTTCTCAAATGCAAAGATAGTCAATCAGAGACCGTGGACCCCAGAGGAAGTTCCTTGGAGTGCATCCAACTTTCTTAACGTTAATGGTAGTTCCTCACAACTGGTATGCAGCTTATAATAATTAATAATACCAGGTTAATATGCATAACAATGATGTGTAATAATAATAATAATAAAAACAAAAAAAATAATACCAGATTAGTATGCATTTCTTCTTTATTCCATAGTCAGTATAGCAACATCTGGGACTGGAAATCATCTGTATCTGAAAAGGGAAGTCCCACAGCAATGTTTCATGGTTTTATCAAAGAAGTGGGAGCTTAACTACGGAGCTGCAGACTTAACCCCGCACAGCATTAGAACGTGAGCAATGTATGGCCAGCTCTGAAGAGCTCTTAAGAAAGGAAACAGAGCATGGCATATTGTTCAGATGAAGTGGTCCAATCACGAACACCAAGCTGTTGCAGAAATCAGAACTTAATTTAGGTGCTTAAATAGAAGTGGAACTATGCTGAAAATGTGACCATTGATCTCCGAGTGCCTCAACTGTAACAGAAGGATGATGTCTTATTTTTTTCACTGTGTAAGTGCTAGAAGGAAAAAGAAGTTCTTGCAGTATCATCTAATCATACCTCAGGAATCACAGTTTCCTTCCAACAGAATCATGAAACAACTTTTTGCTCTAGAGGGATCTTGCAGGTAAGGAACACAATTACATCCAGTGGTTCAAATAGATGTGTAGAAAATTGAAAGTGGGATCCCTTGACCTTCCAGGTAACTCCTCCTTTCTATTCTTAAACCGCCTTCATTTTAACAGTTTGTCTCCCAGCCACCATATGATGATATAGTAAAAATACCTTCTGCAATCCTAGTTTCTCTCCTGTTAAAATATGTACTGCCACACACTGGTTTATTGATTCAAGGAAATAAATCTCTGCTGGAGCTAATATTGACTTCTGTTATGAAAATGGAGGTGAATAACTAACTGAATATTGATTTGAGAGAGGAATGATACAAGATAAGCTTAAAAAAATTAAAATAAAAGTAAAACTGCAGCATGAAAAAGAATGTTCCAAGCAACATTTTTAATGTACAGTCAATTCCAGATGACAATTACCCAATTATTAGAAAAAAAGGTCTATTGTTGCTAAATGTCTTAAAAGCACCTATGAATAAGACAGATGCGGATTCTTCTCTATGACTGCTCCATATTTTTTGCACTTTATACATATATCTATATTACCTGTTCTGGATCCTAACGGCAGTTATGAGCTGGCCTGCTAAAGCTTGTTGCAATTCAGGTACTGTTCTCAATGTGCAAGGCCTTGCAAATGGAAGGTTCGTTATTAGCTGCCCTGATGTGCCATAGCAGCATTACCGTAGCTGCAATTCATCAGCTGTTCTCAAAGCAGGACTATTTGTGAAGGGAAGATTCATTAGTGGGCACCATGATGTACAGTCCTAACATCACCATATTTAATGAGTCTATTAAAAAAAAATTTGACATATGCTTTTTAAGCAAATATGGATCAAATTCTTGGCCAAACTAAAATACTAACTCATTTAAATAACTCTGTACAGTGATTTGCTTGGTACAGAGATTTTCAAGCATGGTTCAAACCATGGTTCACCATACACAATGGGGCCTCACCAGTTTCACTGTTGTCTTTGCAGCCCCCCCACTAGCACCCCAGCTCACCCCATTAGCTGCACCCCTTTCCAGCTATCTCTGCCAGGGCTGTTCCTGTACAAACTCACTAGAACCCAGCTGCAGTGCTCTGCTTTAGGTCAGTGTGTTTGTACAGGAACAGTCTTCTGTGAAAATGGAGAAGATTGGGCAAACAGCAGCTCCTTTGGGGGAGTTCCAGGGATTTGCTGCTGAGAGGCCTTGAGGAGTCAAGAGCTTTCCTTCAGCAAATCCAAGCTGGAGCATCACAAATCAGTTCCTTCAAGCTGAACTTTAGGATCAGCCAAAAGGCAGAATGCAGATTTTTTTGAAGATTCAGCTGGTGCCCTCTGAAAAGTCTCTGGAGCAGTTAGTGAACATGCCTTCCTGCTCTTCAATCTGTTCAGCAAAGTGACAATCCTCACATTTGCATTTTCTGACATATGCTGGTCACTGCCAAAACTCACGCTGTGGAGCAGAGGCCAAAGGCTTTCCCCTGGCAGCTGTATGCAAAGACCACAGTGCCCCAAGGCAAGAATGCTCCAGATGGGTTGGGTTTTTTTTTTCCCCTTTCTTTTTTTCTTTTTTTTTTTCTTTTTTTTTTTTTTTTTTTCTCCTTTTTAAGTAACTGAAAGCAATATGCTAACTGCTTCACTGGACTAGCCTCTCCACTGATCTGGTCCTACCGGCACTGAATTTCTCCAGGTACGTGGAAAAGCACGGAGGCTCTGGTTTATGGGTTACACCCAGGGCTGTGTTTTGCAATAGCCACACGATTGCCCTAGGCAAGCGAGAAGGCTTGGCTTTTCTGCTAAAACCACCAGCAGTGATGTGGCCAACAAGAACTGACATTTGGGGCCAATGTTCCAAGCACTGCGTTTTTAAACTGACTCCAGCAGTGCAGGTGATGAAAAAGTACACAGTGTTACACACAGCCCCAGAGGAGGGGGTGCTTCTACGCCAAAACCACCCCATTACAGTGAATCTGCAGAGGCAAAGACACTAAGTATTTAAGAGCTTCAAGCTCTGCTCATCTTCAAAATTCCAATGTAAAGACTCAAAGTTTCCCAAAGGATACCTTTTAAAATACCATTTATAACCAACTCAAGGCTGGAATGTTTTTGATTGTTCTTTGGCTTCTGCAGAATTAAATGTTTAATTAAAGGACCACTTTCTCGGGGGGGGGGGGGGGGAAAGACATTACTACAGACTAAAAATGCAAATTAGTAATATTCCCCTGTTCTTGAAAGAAGAAATACTTCTTTCTTCTTAAGTGGTAATTTTACAGAAGTTTGAAACTCTACAGAACTATGAATTCGCCGAAGTTTGAAGGCTCAGCCCAATCTGAAACATGGGAATATGCCCAGTGCTGCTTGTGGGAACAGCCATGTGCCCTTCTGAAATCTTAAACAAGTTTATTTTCTTTTCCACAAGGGCACAAACAGGCAGCAAGAAGCACCTTGGCAGGTTATGGCTGTACACAATTAAATAGGGCTCCCCAGATAATCAATCCCTGGCAGTTTCATAAGTCACTGGGGTGGAATAACACCATTTTCCCTATCTGCACACACCTCTTTGAAACTGTACCAGCCTTAATATTCCCTATTGCTTCTCCTGTTCCAACTCATTACATTTTATACCTCCCCACTTCAGCTTTAAACTGAAGTCAAGAGTTGCAACTGTCAATCACTGCTCTGCTCTTGGAGTCCTTTCATAACGTGCAGCCTGAACCAAAAGCTTCACAAGCCTGCACTTACCGCCACCACCACATCCGACAAACTGCGCCGTGATTCAGATTGCTCGTTAATACATCCCGGGGCTCTAATAAGCAAGCTTCACATTGTTTGGTGCATTTGCTTCATCTCCTCTGACTGAAATTTTAATGAGTTTAGGAAAGAGAGGCTTCATTGGGAACTACCAGAAAAGTGGGAAAGTAAGGATACTTTCTCAGAGATCTTGGAAACAAACAAGTAACCAAAAGCAGCTGAGCTCACAAATTTACAGCAGTAAGAGAACTGAAAGCTGCACACCTCTAAATCTTCGGTGTGCCAGAGGGCATAAGCGATGGACTTCTAATTTTATGCAGTCAGTGATACAAGAATGATTTGTTTCTTGTCAATCTGATGCATCTTCTGTGAGTGACAGAAAAGATGAGAGGGAAAGAAAAAGAAACACAGCAGAAATTCTTCCGTTGTGGTAGCAGGCAGATTAATAGGGGTATAACTGTTACAAAAGTACCTCATCATTTAGCATAGAATATAGAATAGAACAGACTATTTCACTTGGAAGGCACCCACAGTGGTGCTCTAGTTCCACTGCCTGACCACTTCAGGGCTGACCAAAAGTTAAAGCATGTTATTAAGGGCATTGTCCAAATGCCTCTTAAACACTGATGGGCTTGGGGCATCGACCACCTCTCTAGGACGCCCGTTCCAGTGCTTGACCACCCTCTCAGTACAGAAATGCTTCCCAATGTCCAGTCTAGACCTCCCCTGGTGCAGCTTTGAACCATTCCCATGCATCCTATTGCTGGATCCCAGGGAGAAGAGCTCAGCACCTCTCCCTCCGCGTCCCCTCCTCAGGAAGCTGTAGAGAGCAATTTCCCCATTAAACAGCCAAATTTTTCCATGCCACACTTAAAGCAACCATGAATGTAGAGCAAATTCAGAGATCAAAATGCAATACAGTTCACTCAGGTGAATAAGCAGGTTTCCAGCTAGTTATCTGGTTAAATTCAGCAGCTCAGTGTTGGGTTTTTTTTTTTAATCTCAGATATGCATGCACTCAGTTAAAATGGTTCAGCTGATGCAAGGACATTAACTGGTGTGCTTCAGCCATCAGATATGTTTTCAAGGCAGAAGCATGAGGGTCAGCCAACTTACAGAAATATATTATATTTATGCTATGCAATCAAAGATTAGTTATATGATTGAGGCCTTCAGGACTGTCACACAACTTGTGGTTTCTCCACATGTACCCCAAGAGCTGACAAAAGTTGAAGGGGAATGGAGATGATGCAAACTATCTTTTATTAAAATCTTTCAATGAGAAAGAATTTTCTTGCTTCACAGAAAAGAGCTCTTACACAAAGGATTAAACAGAAAAGACAACAAATTGAGGAAAACAGAATAGGTTAAAAGTGTAACTCAGTTTGACCAAAAAAGATGTATCTGCATCTTAGGGGCTATATTTCTACTAGTGTAACAGCAATTTTATCTACAAGCCTACCATCTTTATCAATAAGCAAAGCCTATAAAGTACAAATGATGGAAATCATTCTTCAGTATCTCAGAAATAATTAACAGCAAGTTACCTTTCGGTCTTCTTTAAAGACTTCAGCAGCAGTTGTAAAATGTGGAATGGCATTTTTACAGTGGGGACACCCTGTTTGACACAGGAAGAAAAAAAAAAAAACGCATAAGCATTAGTTGTAAATAAGATACTGGGACAAACTCAAGACGCAAGGTGAATTAGTTGAAAATTTGTATTAAAAATAATTCTAGACAAGTCTGTAGACCGTGTGTCAGCTACACGAACTTAAGCACGCGTTTACAATCCCTCTGACCTCAAGCAGTTTAAGCGTGTACTTACAGTTACAGGACACCCCATACAGGGACCACGGTGCTGGGGGCTTTTCTCTATTGCCAGTCCCTTAAGAGCACTTTAAGATCGCAAGCCAGAAACAGACAACCCTTTTTCCTGCTGCTGTACCTCCTCGCGGGTATTAGCATGTACGTTATTCCCGCTGTTGCCACAGATACCAGCTACACTTGGACACAGGAATAAAGACAGCACAGTTGTGGAGAAGGAGGAGGTTGGAAGTTGGACAGGAAGCTCCTTGGGAGTGTTTAGAAGTGTTTGGGAATTGCCTGTGTTGGAGCCAAGCCATTGGGAACTCAAGGGATGGGAAGAGAAGCCAGCCTAACAGGCTATACATCTTTCCCTTATGGAGAGCAGACGTCCATTCCCAGGTTAGGATGACTGCTGCTGGCCTTCCTGGAGACCTTCCTCCTTCACCACAAATGGTCAACCCCAGAAGAGTTTTACAGACATGAGAACACACAAGAACCCCACAGCTTTGCCTGAGAGATGGGCTGATCCCTGTTTGTACACTGCAGCACTGAACAAAAGGCCAGTTCATGCCTTGCTTAAACATATACTAAATTTACTCAAACATTTCAGAAGAAGCCACAAAAGGGGAACAAGAACTGCTCTCCTGATTCAAGATTCAGATGTGAGTGCTCTTAATTCAGAAGCAGTGTTTGTTGTCTATGATAAATTTAAACTACTCTCAAAATACCAGTACTAAGTAAGGCTTTGAAAAGGAAAGTACCTGCATATGTGTAACAAATGACATTTTCAAACACAGCATAAAAAGGTTGTTTCCAAACAAAGACTCAGGACACTATTTTTTGCTTAGATGCAGGGAAAAAGGGAATGGACACACTTCTGTCAAGCCTGTGTAATGCTAGTAAAGGCAAAAGAGTTCATCCTGCTATTATTTCTGGATAGGAACAGAACAGAGCACAGATGAGACGCTCACAAGTTCCAATTACAGCTTATGCTACTGTTGTTTACCAGCATTTTACAGTTACAAACAAGTGGCTGTGTTACTTTTAAGTCAGTACTGAACAAATGTCCTCTTTGTAGGCTTGCAGCCACCCTCTCATAAACCGTACTCGCTCTTTTAGTTGACAAGAAAAACAGTATCTGCATAAACACTGCACATCCCTTTCCACAAAGGAAAGGCTGCACACCCCCTTCATCTTCACCAAAACATAATTTCATTGCTTACATGCACCGTTGTGAATTTTAGAGTATTTTTAAATTCAGAATAGGATTTTGAAAGCACTGCAATGACACATGTGCATAAATATGCCGAGAGTCTATGCAGTAACTAAGAACACCAAAAAGTCAAGGGGACGTTTCCTGGGAAACTGAGGCACTTCTGCAAATCTGTCTCAATGGCATCAAACTCTTTACGCAGCCTAATGGCAGTCTATCCTGATGGCACCTGTGTTTCAGTGGGAGATAGCGCAGGTCCTCTGCAGCTTGCAAACTATTAACTTTGCTGAGTCGTTTGGCATTTGCCTGAGAGAAAATGGTTGAGAACGAAAAGGAGGAGGAGGAAGAAAAGAAGGAGGCGGTGGCTAGGGTTCCAGGCTGCTCCCATGTCCATCAGCCCACTTCAGTGACCCACTTTCTCATCGCTTGCCTATCTGCTTGATGCTGAAAAGCCTTCGGGTCAAGCCTGCGTCTTGACACGTCTTGGATAATTTCCTGTACTCTGGGGTGACTGCCTCGGCTGACTTGTTAACACTGCTCTACACGAATAAATCAGAACTGGTGACAACATTGAAAAAGAACTCCAGAGATAAAAAAAAGAGAAAAATCAGGCACCTCTAAAACAAGAACACTTGTCCTAGTCTACACGCTTACATGCTGTAGTTTACTGGAAATTATTACACTAAAACATAAAGGCTCCTAAAAAGTTAAACCTTTCTACTTAAGATCTTGAGCTTGAAAGTCAGATTTCACCAAATGGCAACTTTCAAACCCTCAATAAAAGATATTTCAAGAGAAACACGAGACTTCATGTCTTCTTATTCCCCTCTAACACCTTTATGATACATCAGCTGATGTGCTGCCCACCTCGTGGGTGCTGGATCTGCAGAGGACAAGGCACTTGGTAAAGCCTCTCTCTAAGCCCCCACTAAAGTTGCAGCAGGTAAGACCTCTCCATGAGCCATACTCTTCAAGAAAACCAGAACACCATTCAACAAATAACAAGCACATTCTTTCAGACACAGAGAAGTCCAATGGATATTAAAAATGCAAGCTGCCATTTTACAGGGCCAACAGATGGCTGGTAAGAAAATGGCTCGAGTGGCCATTTACCTGGTGACTGCTCAGAGAAGCATCAGCCCTTGCTCAATGTCCCTTCCACCCTTGCAAGTCACCACTGCATATGCTGCTGCACGGTGTTCAATAGGTGGCATCAAGAATGGCTTTGAGCGTGGTTCTCGGCAAAGATGCATATCTTGTAAGGCCAAAAGGAAGCATCCAGTTATCTATACCGCTGTGGCATTTTGGAAAAGGTAAACAAAATCAAACATGCTTTGAGGTTGTGGTCAACAACATCACACAGAAGAGCGGAGCCCCATGTAATTCAAAGAGCTGATAAAGGAACCTACGCTCGCAGTGTTTATTTCCTCTTCTCTGTGATCTTCTCATTTTCCCTGTTCTAATACCAAATGACAAAAACTTACCTTCATTTACCGATCTGAAGCTCCATCCCTCCTCCCCTCACTCCTCTCTTGGCCCAACCTCCTTTCTTTACTGCACTGTGCTTGCAAAACTAAAACACAACCATATGGCTTTTGGCAGCACTGACTCCAAGTCCAGTAGGCATTTTGTAGCCTTGGACATCCATACACGGAACAGATGTGAATGCTACACTGAATTCCCAAGGAGTTTCAAGGAGTCACTGAAAAAGGGGGAAGGAGCACATCATATGGAATAGCAGAACTTCATCTGTTACAACTTAGAAGGATTGCCAAATGCAGCAAACACTTGGAAGTCACCCAACCCAGTCATTCTATTTAAAGCACACATGCCAAAAAAAAATAAAGCAGAGGTTGATGTCTTCATTTTGACAGACGGAAAACTTGTTCTCCCCATTCCCTCTTCACACATTTATTTTAAGTGTTAACACTATCTTCCAGATTTGAAAGTGCAAAAGAAAGGAAATGTACTGAGCACTGTACATGAGGATAGGAAATGTGCAGGCTCCTTACAAAGGATTTTCCAGATGGGCTGCAATGGAAAGATATTAAACTGGGGGCATCTGAAGGCGTGGGTAAGGTGACAAGAATCATAAAGTCCTGCCCTTTCTCAATAGTAGTTATAGGACAGTAAATCACTATGGACTAAAGAAGGGGGAAGATTCATTCCATTTTATTTTAGCTGAATAATTTGGATGCTATGGTAGGCACACAGGCTTCCTACAAGGCCAAGAGGTGGACTTTCAACTGAACAGCATTGGAATTAGCACTTCTGGGAGCAGAGCCTTCTAATGTAAGTGCAGGGCTTTGCTTTACCAATTTTCTTTCGTTTTTACATCATTATCAAATTTGATCTCAACGGGGTTAACAGCAGATGTGAACCAAACAGTAATTTCCTGTGCCTAACTTGAGAAATCTAAAAGAAATCTGCTCCTGGAACATCCAGCCTTTTCACAGGATCCCAGCACTGGCACTCAAACCCTCCAATCACTTCTGCAAATCTCGAGCTAACTTCATTTCCTAATGCAGAAACACACTTGCATCACCTGGCAGGAAAGCGAGAGAGCTTGACATCTAATGCACATGCGGTAGCACGCGTGAAGGTCATTCTCCATTCCCAATCAGCAAAAGATACAGCTTTATTAGAGCTCCGGCCAGACAGTCTCACCTCTCCATGCTCAAAATTTTGCACTCTGGAGGGCCCCCCCATGCAGCCCGTGGTGGTATCTGCTCTGCTTGACCACTGAAGCCCACCGGCGGATGAGGGCTGCCCGCTTAAACCACAGGTCTGTGGATCCATATAACGACAGCTGCAGTAGAGGGGTTCTAACTTCCCTTTGCACTATAAATTAAAATTTTTACATGAATACAGTATTTTCTGCAGGGTTTTTTCCCCACCATTCATGCTGTAAAGTTGGTAAGGGCTGGGAAGGCACACTGCAGCACAGTCACGGCAGGCAGCGTCTCACACCTGACCTTGAAAAGCCACGTAGTTCTTGACTGATCCAGTACACGAAAAATATGGTTTCTGTGGGTAAAAATTCAAGATGAATGGCAGATGAACAGCAGACAAGGGAAATCAAGTAACCAAGCAAGCAGGCTTCATTCAGACACATTTCACTGAGGGGGAGACAGAGTCTGATTAAGTCTCCTCTAGTTAGAGAGGCATTAAAGGAAAACTAGTGGGTCTTTTTGGAGATGAAGCGATGGAAAAATACGTAGCCCAGCTTATTTTCCGTGGACTGAATTTACTGATAGCAGGAACAACCACACGGTTCA